AAAGTTCCGCGACGTGAGCACGCGCGTGAGATTCCAGAGTTCTAGGGCCTTTGATATTAGTCCATCTGCGCTTGACGATGCAACGCTCTTGGCGGTCTGTACAGTCATCCTCATGAAGTTCGAGTCTTCGGTATCGGCAAAGTGGCCGCCCATCTTCTTGATATAGTGGTCTAGCTTCCCACTGACATCGTCATCACTGTCTATGAGTTCGAGATCCGGAGTAGCTAGTCCAGCGAAGATCGCAGGATCGATGTCCGCGTTTTGCGCTGTCTGCGTCTGCTGACATTTCAGCGGCGTGAAAGTAGCAAGGATACCGGAATGAGGGAAGTGGGTTGCTTCTATGCGCCCTGGAGTCTGATCGAGCCGTATCTGGCCCTTGGCTTGATTCGTTGCATGGAATGCTAACACGCTATGAAGACCTGCAGAGTAGAGACCGAACTCCTCTGCAATTCTTGTTCTGATACATGGCTGCTTCCACAATCGCGCACTCTCGACGTTCTGGCAAGTGTTGCATGGGTTGTCGCCCGAACATGGCTTTTTGAGCATGCGACACCGAATGCACGCGCCTCGCTTGCGCACCTCCTGTACTTCTTTCCGTCTGGAGTCTGTGAAACGTCCCCTAACCTTTGGCTTAGCCGGCTTCTGGTTCATGCTGAAGTCCGTGGTGAAGTGGGTCTGGTTGCCTGGACTCATTGCAAGTGGTCGTTGGTGGCTCATTCCCTTATTCAACTGGTCGTTCGCGTGCATCTGCTCCTTGCCATGGTCTTGTAGCATTGGGTCCAGTGAGTTGGGCTGTATGTTCGGCCAATGTCCTCGTCCTTGGGGATGGAAGAACTTGCCGTCTGACATACCCTGCATACCATGCGCTGAGAGATTCATGTCCGACTCCATAGGCATACCATTTGACAGAGGCATGAGGTCATTCGCTGCTGATGCTGCCATGACGAGAGACGGAACCATGTGCGACATCGATCCAGAGCTTGACAGAGGCATATGACCCATGTGCGGTGAGGCAGTTGGAGAGTGATGTAGCGACCCATTGAACTGGTACATGGAGGGCATTGCTGGCGCATGCGACATGTCCATCCCGTGGGAGAGGCCGCCCATGTCAGAGCCATCGGGCCGGTCATCCTGTATCAGAAACTCTTCCAAAAGCCCTGCATGGCTCGCATTATTGTTGTGGTTGTGGTTGCCATGGTTGTTGTGAGCTTGCGATGGCTGCTTCTCTGCCATGCGTTTCCCAGAGAGGTCCAGGTGTTGTCGCGACACCTCCGCCAGCGTCTCAAGCGCAGACAGCTGCTTCGACGGCGCAAAAGGAAGGTTCATCTTCTGGCCATGCTGCAACTGGCTCGGCCCGGGTGCGTTGGTGGTGGCCGTCTGCGTCATATTGTCGGGGAGTGGCAGCTCGTGCATCTGCAGTAGCGCGCGCTGGCGGTCTTGAAGCGGTAAAGCGGGACATTTCTTGACGAGATGGTTCGTGAGGCTGTCTATGCGACCTTTGGGAAACTGCCATGTGTAAGCTATTATTGCTCACTCTACACCGTCAACTTTTTTGCGGAGCGGGGTCACTCACCTTTTCGCCGCACGACTTGCACGTGTGCTGGTAGCGGTTGCTTGCATCTTCCAGCTTGGGTCCGCGCTCGAAGTACTCGAGAATCAACTGGTTGGGTCGACGACCCATGATGGGCCCAAAAGTTGCGTTCAATTGTGTGGTGGGTGACGAAAGATTACTGCCGGAAGTATTTGGCGGTCAGTAGCCGGCGGTCCAAGAAAGCTGAGGTCTGCTATGGTTGGTCGGTCCGTTAGCCCTCATCTGACATCATAGCCCATCTTTCACTCGAGCCTCACAACTATCACTATTGCACCAGCGCTATACCTAGATGCCTGACATTAATAAATGGCATTCATATTCACGTATCTGAACGATGCGTCGATGGATGAATGCTGACAGCGTCCAGCTCGCGGATCTTCAGCAGGAGACCACGCGTCACAAGCCGTAAACTCACTAGGCCAACGAGATGGAAAGAGCGCAGGTGCATAGACACACATGATGCACCACCCGTGGACTGTATGCCAGGTTTCGGCCTCGAAAGATCATGGACGCGTTCCTGACTAGAGACGCGACTAACCAGGATGCAACGCGCCCTGCATGCGTATACATCCGGAGCGAGTCAGGAGAGGTCGATGCATCCACCTGATCCAAGATCAGCTAGGCTTTTGTCATGACCGCATGATCAAAATGGCGATTTCGCTCCCTTGGTCTTTCTTTTTGGGTAACGAAATCATGACGTCCGCACTAGTCACGCCAAGTCACATGTGCAAGTAGACTGGAATATGGACTACAACATCGACGTGTCCGGATACATGTAAACAAACTCCTAATCCATATCTACGCCTAAGACCTACCATGCGCCCTATGCAAACAACTTTCTGAACCATCAAAATGCCGACAACAAAATCACCAGCCGCAAACCCAACCATCACACCCGACCCATCTCAGAACGGCTCCACGATCCGCAAAGCCTTCCTACTCGAAGCCTTCGCCAACCTCTTCACCATCCCGCTCATAACAAATACGCGCTGGACGCTCTCCCTGCTCCTCAACAACCCCTCCCGCGATATCAATCCTACCTCAGTCCTCTTTGCTCGCCTGTGCGGCGGTTTAATCGTAGGCGGTCTAACATCCGCTTTACTCGCCGGCGCGACCAATACGCGCAATGGAATCGAGAGCCGACGACCTACGTATATGCTCTTGGGACTTGGGGAGGCGGCTTTGATCCCAATGATCGTCTTGGACCTGTTGGAGGGAGGGGGGCCGGGTGCGGCACTCAGTAAGAAGGTCGCTGCGGTCAGTGTGGCGTGTTTGGCGCCGCCGCTTTTGTGGAGGCTGTACGTGCTTTTTGTGAGGCCGGATCTGCTCGGTCGGTACACGGAGGAGAAGACGGGTGACGGTGCTGCGAGGAGGGGTGACGGATGTAAGTATTGTGTGCGGAATGGGCGAAGGTGTACGCTGATTTGATCTAGATGGTGCTATTAATACCCGCGTAGACTGAGACGGTGGAGAAGCTGAGATAATCCATGGAAGTGGCATCTCATTCCTTGCAATGCTCTGTCTGAAGTTCGGTGTCTTGTAGATTGCTTTCCGAATTACAATACTTTTCCATGCCCTATGTGCAGGACAAATCTTCCTTAAACGCCTCGCTGAAATCATTTGCAATGTGTCTCTCAGACCTTCAGATGGTATAGTGCTTAGTCTGCGAAGCCTCCCCACTCCGCCTCGGAATCTTCGTCATCCTTAGCCTCCTCTGTCATCTCTACTTCCTGCCCCCTCCAAGCTCTTAACCTATCATCAGCCAAAACCTCTTTCGCGGCATTCCTCAGCGTCTTCAACTTGCCCTCCTTGGCCATCCTCTCGATAGGCAACACTAGTATCTCCAATGTCTCCTTCTTATCCTCCTTCTCCCACGCCTCTCCCTCAACCTTCTCCATCTCATCGACCCAGACATCCATGACATGGTATCTCAGTCCATTGGGGATCCTCATGTTCTCGCACTCCAGCGGGGTCTCCTCCACAACAGCATTCCATTGTTCCACCAAGCTCTTCTTCCATTTCTTATTGCTGAGGAAGGTGAAGGACGCGTTGACGTATTGGCGGATGAGGTAGAGGTACTTGTCTAGTCGGAGTGCTTCAATGCGGGTCCATTCGCGGGACATGGTGAGGAAGAAGGCGCGGATGAAGGGGAGTACGACGGGAGTTCGAAGGGCTGAGACGAGGGACGCGAGGTCACGCGACAGGCCTTGCTGGAGGGTGGGTTTGTCTTGCATCCATAGGCCTAGAAATTTATTGTTAGCCTTTGCAGGATGGGTCGCGAAGTGCCTTGGGGGAGTGTTTTAGGACAAGGCATAAGGAGCGCGTACAGTAGAAGAGCCCTTTCCATAGCTTCAGCAGGTCTAGTTCTGATATCTCTGATTGCGCGCCCAGGTATGTCTTGAGTGAGTCGAGTGCATTGTCGCGAACTTTCTTGTCTGTCGCAAACGTTAGACTTCCGATTGAGTGTCTCCCCAACGTAGTGATTTCGTACCGCTAGAGGCAAGATTCCTTATGAACGGGTTGTTTTGCGCGTCTGATGCCATGATGTACTGTGATGCGTCGTGCTATTTCGCGATGATGTCTTTGCTCTGAGGCCTGACACGCGGGCCGAACTTTTTTTGGAGGGCTCATGGATGCCGCTAAGATAGCGATAAGGCACCATGGCTGCGCCACATGCAAATTAGCGCACCTTGGAGAACAAGCGTATTTCAGGCACGACAATTCATTGCCCTGCGCAATCCTGATGCTAGAATAATGCCTGAATAAGTTCTATATGCTGACTTCGGGATTCGCGTTTTGGAGCGCGTTACGGCTAGGGATACTGCCTAAGAGACCTGTCCTAGGATTCTACCGACTTCGACGCGTTGTAGATAATGCGGCGTCTAAACGCCTTCTCTGTACGAATCTTTTGTAAGGCTTTTAGAACAATTAGAAAGTATTGTAGATCTAGATGTTTACTACCTAGATATTAAAGTGCTAGCTAGCTAGTTACCTAGGGAGAAAGCTCTAAAACTAGCTAGTACAAACTAGGTAAGGCGTTCATGCTCTATCGTCCGTGCCTATGCTTACTAAGCAATACTTGCTGTTAATCACAGTCACGCACTAATTTAAACAGCTAGATGCCTAACTTTACTTCTAAGGTTTCCTAACAGCGTAAAAGAGAGATATCTAACGTAAACTATCTATGTTACTAAGCTCTTCTACGTAACTATATTGCTAGAATCTAAGGTCTCTAGCTAGTTCGGACTCCGCTGTCTTCTAGGTATGTTTGTCTAACGCTCGCAGTCTACCCAGATACCTCGTAACGCGACATATACTTTCTACGCGGCTCGATTTCATTACAAAAGATCTCTAGCATGCCGGCTAAGTCAAGAAAGAAGGCTAACGCGATGCAGTCGCAGCGCAAGGGATGCCATCTATGGTCGTGATCCCGGCCAACGGACACGAGAGGCGCCGTGTCCTAGTAGACCGCGTAAGTACATTCCGAACCTCGGTCGCACGCGTTTTAATACTAAAACTATCTTTAGGTGCACTCTATTGTGTCAAATCGCGTTCAGAACGGCGTTAGTGTTCCTTCACCCTGAGTGGTCCGTGCGCGATGCTGATATCAGGGTCTAGGACGAGCAGTACCTAGTACAATGGACATCGGAAACGACGACCACGAAACCTCCGCTCAGCTGGCACTCAGTTAAGGACTTAGTGCGATGCTTAGAGCAGATTCAGGACTACCTTGAAGTGAGGGAGAAGTAAGCGGCATCTCAGTACTAGTCTTCGGTCTCTTACCAACCTATCTAGGAACCTACCGCTACCTTCAGACATAAAACCTTCCAGGAAACGAAAGAGCCCTGATGGAGGTTCATCGTACGAACGCCGCTCTTCACCATTCGATCGACGACTACAAGAGGGTCGTACGCCGTCAGCCTCTCGATCTTCATCCGTGTCATCTGCAGCAACAGTCACGTCTCCAGCCAGTGACATTTACAACGGCGTTTTGGATGCTGATCAATATGGCCATGTCTTCTGTAGACAAGTACGTCTTCGTAACAAACGTTCCTTTGTGTGCTTCACTGACATATGGCAGGCCTCAGGTCACGACATACCCGAACTTGACATTCGTACCGTGCCCACGCCAGAGATGAACCGCATTGCCCATCGTTCTAGTGTCGACAAAGCACTCATGTACATCCGCAATGAGTATGTTCGGAGGCTAGCGAAAGTACCAGGCAAACCTATTCATCTGTTCAACGTGGTAGACAAAGCCACACCCTCACTGCGCTTCCGGTACATCTCCGAATATGTCCTAGATGAGCAACAAGGTGTCTACCGCGCGTCACTAGAAACACAGCAAGGCTGCCTACAGTGTTCACCCCACATGGGTCGTGGCATTGGATGCGAATACACAAAGAAGTGTGACTGTCTGGAATACGCTGCAGTGGATGAGAGCCGCCTTGATGAAGAAGGAAAGCGGGAATACCAACTTGCGCTCGAAAACGGAGATTCAACAATGGGCTTTCCGAAGAAATTCCCTTACTTCGCCGAAGGCACGAAACGAGAGAAGACCGGCTGTCTCGTACCCTTTTACCTCAACTCCCGTCGTCCAATCTACGAGTGCAACGATAAGTGCAACTGCGGCCCCAATTGTCGCAACAAGAACGTTCAATTCGGGCGTCAGGTCGAAGTTGAGATCTTCCGAGCAAACGACGGACGTGGCTGGGGTCTCCGCTGCAAACAAGATCTGCACGAGGGCCAATTCATCGATACCTACCGCGGCGAAGTCGTAACAGATGCCGAGGCCACGCGCCGCGAAACCTCGTCGTCAAAAGCAAAGGCCTCTTACCTCTACTCCCTCGACAAGTTCGCTGAGTCAGAAGGCCTCAAAGAAGAAGACCTCTATGTTGTGGATGGCGAGTTCATGGGCGGACCGACGAAGTTCATCAATCACTCGTGTGACCCGAATTGCCGGCAGTACACTGTCTCCTACAACAAGCACGACCCGAGGGTCTATGACATCGCGTTCTTTGCACGAAGGTTCATTCCAAAGGGCGAGGAACTGACGTTTGATTACCTTGATAAGGAAGAGGGGGAGGAGATGGATGAGCCGGGTGAGGGGGCGCTTCCTTGTCTTTGCGGGGTGAAGAATTGCCGCAAGTGGCTGTGGACGTGAGGATCGTGCCGTACAAGCGCACGCGACATACTACAAAGTTTAGGCCGGCGTGTGAGAGAAGGGGGGATACCTATCAGACTGGTAAGGGGGTTATCTTCATGTGACGACTGCATTGCTCTGCATCAGCGATGAGCGTTCTGGCGTCTGCATTTTCATTTTGTTAACTATGATACAATTCCATATCAGTGTATCCTTTCAGAAGCCTTCTTTCGTGTCCAAGGTTGTCTTTTCCATGCTGATGGGTAAGCGCAATTAATCGCGTAGGCTTTTCGTCGTTCGTCTTCCAGTGTCATCTAGACTGACCAACATTATCATCACTGACTTGCTTCCTGAACCATATTCATCACACCAGCACACAGCTACGTTAATCATAAATGCCTAGAACACAACATAGGTGTAGGAAAAAGTGGGTGCGGGCCGGTAAGTTACCCGGTAGCACAGTTAGCGCTCGGACCACCACCCACGCTCGCACCGAGAACCATTCAGTCTCTTGACCCCCAACTGCAATTTTCCGCCCCATCTACTTTTTTATTTCTCTTCGTAATGAAGCCTAGCCTGCCTAACGAGGTAGACCGCGAGGATACGCCTGATCCGCCGGTGGTGGATTACCTTGACCGACTCCGAGATGACCTGTTGGAACGACTCCGTTGGGACGTTTTCGGCTCGTTGAACGACATCCAAGTCAAAGATCCTGGAAATGCTCTCACGCCCTTCATGGGCGCCAGCATCGCCTCAGAGTCCTTGGCAAGTCCCCCGTTCACCAAAATCTCGGTCTACATCGACGTCTGCGAGGAGAAACGCAACATGGACGAGCAAGAGGAGGAAGACCGATACGCTGCCCCAGAGCCGCTGATCATCGACAAGGAGGATGGCTCTTCTATATGCTTACATGATTTCGTCTCGCAAGTCCACTCATACCTCAATGTCAACAAGGAAGAGATTATGCAATGCGAAGACGAACTGTACATGAACCCGGTGGACTTGGGCGACGGTGTCAAAGCGGTGGAAGTCGTCCCTGATGATGATGACAGGGACTGGGCAGATGGATCTGGAGAAGACCACGAGTTCAGTCATTTCCTTCGAAGCGGCAACATCCCAGAAGGAAGTCGAGTCTTTTTCGATAGGGCTATGATCAACCAAATCGACCAGGACGAATATAGTATTCATGTGGTTCTTTTCGTTGAGGGCGATGATGGAGAAACGCTGCATTCGTTTTGGGAAAGGAAAAATAGGCCGTAGCAGCTCACCAAGACCAAGCAGATTTAGCGCCAACAGCGATCGTTCCCTTTGCTGCCTAAGTCGATGCCCTGGATCGTGGGAGCGTTCTGGCGTCTGCATGTTCATTTTGTCAAATATGCTACAACTCCATATACAGTTCTTCTTCCACAGCATGTTTCCTATCCTGCATGTCCTTCGATCATGGCCATGACGAGGCGCGAAAAATCGGGCACGTTTCCCATCGTTAGTCTTCCTAAGTGTCGTCTACGATGAACAAGTTTCCCCGAGACTAGCATCCCATTTGACCTACACTCACCATAACAGTACATATCCTCGTTCATCGCGAATGTCTAGAACACATAAAATAGGGGCGAGCTACACTATTCTACCACTCACTAGCTGACACGTATCAGACTTCGAACGACTCTGACATCAAGTCTCCGAAAAAAAGTATCAATGGACCCCGCAATGGTCTACCACACGTACCAAAGTCCTCGAGATTTAGCCTCGTGTCAGGCCAAGGGAGAGGTTTAGTAACTAACTTCAGCGGGTCAGGAACCAAAGTCTCCACTGGACTCAATGTGCGCAGTCTTGTCTCGTGGCCATGCCACCCCAGTGATCCCGCTGCGAAAATGCGCTTCCGTAGCGAAGTGGCATACTCCAACGACATAGACCCTCGAGCCGTGATGAACGAGGATGACAACGGCCAGTAACCTCTCCTCGAAATGTGAGTGGTGATAGCAAGCTCCGTAGGCCAAGTTCTGGTCACTAAGCCATGGCATATGGAGAAGAATACCTGAAGGCTTAGCCCATCCATCTGGAACATGACCCTGATGATGGATCTGATCTTCACGCGACCGGCCCCGCGGCACCTGACAGTGTGGTTTCGCTACACGGCTACGTACCCGAGATCGCATCTGCTGACAAGTGGATTGTACTTTGGTAAACATATCCGAAATAGTATTGTGGGAGCGCTACGATTGGGCGAGACGGTTACATTGTGACTATCGTGCAGTCGTCACATATAGCGCCGTGATCACCCGTCTTTGCACTGACACGTAGGTATCGAAATATCTGGTACGGGAAAAAAGTAAAACGATCTGTCTACACCGTGTAAGCCTCGATATACGTCAGTTGAGCATGTACTTCCCTATTAAATCCGCAAGTTGTATCTGGTCAGGGTCTCTCTACATACCACAAGTCCACTTTCAAGATTGCGCAACCAAAGCACTTCCTTAACAGTGACTCCGGTCTCACTGTGCCACCATAACCTCGCTGCGACACCGACATGCAAATGTTCGCAACCATTCTAGAAAAGCTACGGCTTATTCCCAACACAACGAACGAGGGAAAGACACAAGACGAAGAAGGCATACCATACGTCCAACTCAACGACGAATACGACACAACCCTCCGGTTATCATGGACAAACGATCCAAAGAAACTGTACTTGTCTGCGTGTTTCGACCCGAAGCGGGAGGCGAATGTTGCAAAAGACTACAACATTGAAGGTCTTTGTCCAGTGGTCAAGGAAACCAAAGGCGACGAATTCATACTACGGGACAACGACGGCCGGTATTATCTCTGGGATGCATGGGTGGGTGAGTTGATGAAGTTCCGGGATTGGTGGATCGAAGGCTTCACGACAAAAGAAGAGCTAGTGGAGAATCTCGTGTGCAACATGACAGAAGCGCAAGCGGACGTGGAATTCATTGAGCGGAAGCGTAGAGACAGTGTGGTAGACTAGTCCTACCCTGCATCGTGTAGTCGACTTGAAGATCGGAATCGGGATGGATGCGAGGCGACGCGGTGCGAGGTTGGGAGAAAGATGTAGTTTAAACTTTAAGCGACGACGTCGGGAGCCAATGAAGAATGAGGACCCTGACCCACCATTTTTCGTGCCCCATTTTGCTGGTCCGTGACTCCGACGCAAAGGGACTACCACTGATAAAAGCGTCGACGCGGTGATCGTCGCCTGCCATGCCGATACCTGACTGAGACGCGTAGTACACGGAAGGGTTCTGCTAGCCTGGAATTTCTCTAATCAAACAACAACATGCCTCAGTATCTCGTCCGGCTTGCGCAAGCGCATGAGAGTTTTCGGAAAGTCGAACTGCAAGCGCTAGCCGATATTGCTGGAGTGCCTTTACACTTCGTCAAGTATGAAGAAGATGTGAGTACATTTTTGTTTCACTGAGCAGTCTTACTGTCACAAATTCATCCGTCGCGTCTCTCGCAGTGTTGTTTTGGTTCAGATCCCGAAAAAGCAATCCCGGTGTCGCGTCACACCTTACAAAAGCATACATTTCTGACGATCAAAGTCACCCTACTGCATCGTCGATCTGCCGTCAGAGGCTGCGGCACGAAA